TTCTGTCCTGAGCAACTATTCATCACATAAAAAACATGGAATGGTGATAGTTTCAGTGGGAATTATAACATTGTATTACTCATTCTAAGTCTGAATATAAACATGGAAATAGAAGAATATGTTTATGCAGCAAGAGGAAACCACATCACATGTGTCTTGCTTGAGTTAATAACATTAACAGGTCTTAATTACATTGTTGTGAGACTTTGTGAAAAGACAAAGGAATTAGGTACAGTAAATGCCATTTTCTTAGAAAACACAATAAAAACAAAGTCCTCCTAAACCAGGGAAATGTAAATGTGTACCTGTGATTGGGCTAAAATGATTGTATAATTCTGAATAGAAACAGCATTAAATTGAGCATTCGGTGCTTTAATTCCCCAATGTGTGTCGCCAATGACATATTATTTTATTTATTGTGAAAGCTTTCAGTATCAAGTTTCTCATCAGTACTGTAGCTATTGATTTCTTCCTGAATTCCACCCTTGAGTTATTATTTATTCAAAAACCACTTTTACCACATTGATGTATTTCCCTTATAGTGTGCAAAGTAAGAGGGCACTGATATGTGTGTGAATATTGAAGAAGACTGAACAAGATATAAACAAACTCTGAAACCTAAATGCAGGTCAGATTAAATGGTTATTGTCTTGAAAGGAAAATAAAAACAGTAGTGCCTTGCAAAAATATTCAGACTCTTCCATTGGTGTCCCGTTTGGGGATACATTTGCAAATTGATGCATTCTCATTTTTCAACACATTTGATTATTATTGTATGTAAAATCTGGAGACTCAACCTGAAGCATTCATAGAGTAAGGTACATTACAATGAATATAAGACAAAGAGAAAAACATTAAATATGTTTATTGCATAAGGAATCAGACCCATTAACTCAGTATTCGATGGAAGCACTGGTGGCAGCAATTTTAGCTGCTAGTCATTTTGGTCAAGTCAGAAATGTATCACAGTGCTGTCACCAACATGCTTGCTTGACAGTATGGTGGAATGGTGATGCTCTATGTTGAGTTTGCATCAGATGTAACACTTTGCATTTAGACCAGAAAGTTCCAGTTTTTTCTTTTCTGGCCACAAGACCTGGCAACACGTTTCTGTATCACTTAACTATTTCGTTGAAAGCTCCATATGGGATCTGAGTTGGGTTGTCCACACTTCCATATGGGCCAGCTTTGCGGATTCCTTGGAATATTGTTGACTCATGGACACTTCCTCTCATTTCCAATGGTGCGAAGCTGCCATCTATGGGATTATGACTGAATGCCTCTAAGTCAGAATTCCCCCCTTAAAGGGTGGAGCTCTGTAGCTGTTTCAAAATCGTCATTGGCCTCACAGTTAGTGTACATCCCTTCTCATCCTCCGGACAGGTTCCTCCTTGTCCGGCCGGTCCGTTTGGGGTGGGAAGGATACCCTCCTCTAGGCAGTGTCTGGGTACCTTCCACTTCTTAATGATGGGCTTCACCATGCTCAAAGATATATTTAGAATCATTTAGACCCTTTTCCTGATCTGTGCTTATACAACCTTATACTGTAACTCAATTGTTCTTGGTATTCATGATTGACTCTGTGCTTGAAATGCACAACCTAACTGGACTGAGGAATCTCACAGAGACAGGTGAATTTAGAAATCATGCAATCCACTGTTATTGCACAACTAATTGTGTTGCCTATTAATGTAATTCTGTGTACATAAATACATTTAGGTTTATCAAAGAAAAGGTTTAAAGGCACAACATTTAAAAACTTACATAATTTTGCAAGGCACAGTACGTAGTGTTTTAATGGTCTTTTAAAAGCTGCCTTAATGGAGGAGGGAGTTCTGTGAATACTGAAACATCTGTCATATACATGTATTGTGCTTCCTTTTAACTCTTTAAAATAGCAGAAGGCAGTACAAATAGAGTTAGTATGTCCAGAAAAGAAGAGAACAAAATGCCAGCAATCTAGTGCCAGATTGTTTGACTTCTGCAGGCGTTCACACTATTTCTGTGGCAATACTTAGTGTGGGCTGGTCCTTATAAGGACTTAAAGATGAAGTCTGTGTAAAGGAAGACTGGCATTTCATTTTCTTGACTTATAATAACATACATAGGCCTAATCTTGTTTCTGCTAGACAAAACACTAGGTGTGCACTGAGTGATCGGTGTGTGTGGTACTGATGTGTTGTCAACACAGGATCCTCCCCCCCTCCCAATCCGAACTGCAACTAATTTGGAAATCTGGGTTCTGAGAGGCAGCTGGAGTGTGAGGAAATGCTGCTCTCCTGCTGGGGTCAATGGGGGGTCTGTACGTCGCTGTGCAGTGATGGAGCAGCAGGAGGGTGGGGGCTAGATTTATCACAGAACTCAGCATTACTCTGCCTTGTCTGGTCCGAGCATTTTTTTCTTAAATGGACGGTAAATGAAAACAGACGTGCAATTCTGTGTTGTATTCTGCCTCTGTTGCCAAACCTTCTCTGTGGATCGTGATATAATTAGACTTGGGTAAAGCAGAGTAAACAGACAGTGGTGTACAAATGAATGGAACAGAAATTGAAAGGAACAGCTCTGGAAATGGAAAGACAAATTTTTAACAGCCAACATTAATTACTACATGCTATGGTATGACTACTGAGTACAGTATGAGCATAAGCACACAGTTGTGCACAAAAACTGTGTTGAACATACACAGTGTGTTTAGATTTCCAGCGGTCTAATGAGGTGTTTAGTCTGCCACTAGTAGTCAGTTTGGGAGTATTTTTGTGTGATTGAAAGAAGCATATTTATTTTATTCCTTTTTGCAATTTAAGAAAGTTGTTACCCAGGAATAAATGGACACAAACAGAATCTTAAGGCCCAAACATTGAGATGATTACCTGTTGCTCTTACCTGTTGTTTTGGGGTGATATCTTCAGTACTCCTCTACAAGCTTTTAGTTACTCTTCAGAAAGATCAGAGCATATTTTTCTCTCTAGCGCAAGGATAAATGCTTTTATATGACCATATTATTTTGTGAAAGGTTGATGCTTTGTGTTCACATTCTCCGTACTGTATATATCGCCATATATTCGACAGCTCAGGACAACCCATTGTGCCCTCCTCAGAAGGAGAATTGAATTAGATTGTTTTTCTCCATCATCATAAAATCACTGAACCAGAGAGAAAACTGGAAAAAGACACGTACGAAAAGTGTACAGCCCTGTCAGGAGACATGTACAGTAATTACCAGGCTGCCTCCTAATGCTGGCCCATGTGTCTTCTCTGGTGGAGTGGGAGGAGTGGGAGGCTGCTAAGCAGTATTAATAGACTCCTTCTGCTCCACCAGCACAGAGTTCACGGGGAAAGAGCATATTCTGCCAAGCATGCAGTATTCTCTAACAGCACCCTGTGTTAGCGCTTATGAAATTATGCTCTCCTGCATTCTGACTAACAGGCTAACAGAACATCCTCAAGTTGGAATCTGTCTGGAAATTAACCTATTGGTTATGCTTTGCATGAGAGCAATATTCCATTGGGAATAAATGTGGATCTCACGTGACAGATCAATCTCCGGTACCTGCTACAAACGAATCTGGGATCTAATGTTCTTGGTAACTGTAGTTGACTTTACTACCACAACAAGCAATGGTACGTCTTTCAGGCTGTTTTAAAATGGGAACCTAATCAGTTTTCATTACCAATTTCAATCTGATTTCAATCACTTCATGGGTTTATCACCTGTAAAAATGTAAATGTCTGTGTGCTGCTACTTAAACTGTCTGAAGTGGAGTTAAATGTAACATCCTTTCTAGATGTTTCTGCCAGGTACGGAGTACATTCAGGTTGTTTTCAGCTAGAGTTAAAAACCTCTGCTCAGGCAAATTTCTAAACTTGACTACTCTGAGGCCTTCTAATGTGAAAATGTTGCAGCTCTAAATACACGAGGAAGCTGTGGTCACATAATTACAATAATGACCATGGTAGCCTAGATGATTTGTTTATCATCATGAAAATATGTTCAGCATTGGTTCTGATTGACACTGATTTCTGCCATCTTATTTTTATTCCATTGTCCTTTTGGTATGCTCCCATGCTTACCATCATGTGAGGTTTCCTGGCACCCGCCAGTGGTTTGCCTCAGAGATGCCTGTGTTTGAGAGGCTAATTGGGCTTTTGGCTGGGATATCTTGGCAATGTAAAGTCACTTGGTAAATGTGAAATGTGTGTAACTATTCCTAGAATGCTAGACTGTTTTTTCCTGAATGAGTCTAATGCCAGTGTATTACTAATTCCAGTACAAATGTGCCTAAGTAACAAATGAACAAGTAACTGCTCCTGCCTTTATTTGCTTAGAATAAAAGCTCTGGAAGGTGCTTGTTTTGAAGCACGACCTTAATTCATTCTTGTCTCCTGTCTTACTGTCAGCTGAGGATCGGGATTCACTCTGGCTCCGTTCTGGCAGGGGTTGTTGGTGTGAAGATGCCTCGATACTGCCTGTTTGGGAATAATGTAACTCTTGCCAGCAAGTTTGAATCTGGAAGCCATCCTCGGTGCATCAATGTCAGTCCGACTACATACCAGTAAGTACATGTAATACTTATATAGCACTTTTCCGGACACTCTACTCAAAGCACTTTACTCCCCGCCCCCACCAACACTAATGTGCAACCTGGATGATTCTTTTGAATGGGTTCGGTGTTCTTTTTTTTCTTTGGTTTTTGTTAAAAGTCTCAATATACAAACTCAAAAGTTAAATAATTTTCAATTCTATATCGCACTTTATTACTGCATCATAGAGCAAGTTTAAGACATTAATGGATCCTAATCCTATTATTCTAAATCTGTCTTCAGATCAATATGAAAAAAATTCAGTATGTCACCGAATCATTTTCCATTGAATAAAAAAGGCAAATGAAATTGCCCTGAACTTAAAATTGAAAATGTAAAAAAAATTCAAAAGGATTATATTATGGTCTTTTTGTTACGTTTCCTTGCCTACTCACATAAGCCTTTCCCAAGCATAATGTGTCCTTTTGATTATAGAAACCCCCCTCCTACACCTGAGACGTGAAAGATGATAAGTCAAATACAGTATATTCCAAATTTGGTGGGTTTATAACAAAAAACAAATAGTGACTTTATATTAAAACAAAGACAAAAATGGATATACTTTTTTGTGAACCTGCATGTAATTTCTGAATGAATAATGGGTTCAGGATCTCATTGATGTTTAGTCAGTCGTGAACTTTAGTCAGATGGAAACCTATTTTCCATCTAAAGGTAGTAATGACTAGGATTTTTCTTGCTTGTAGGCAGGTAATTCCATTCTAGCCACACACCATAGCTTATTGGTGTAACGAGAGCAGGTCCAGGCTCCCGCGAAGCATAGTTCAGGACCCTATGCAGACAGTATAATCTGGAAGTAAGTGGAGAAGGACATCAGGGGAGGAGACGAAGAGGATCAGGACAGGTTGACAGATAGGGGGGGGTGACGATGGTGATCCGGTGCTTGGGGGGCATGGTTTTGGTATGGTTTCATGGTTTCCTATCATGGAAAACTGGAGTTAAGCAAAATTAGTTGAACAAGTCTTTGAGCTCCCCTTCAGTTTGAAACAATACTACAAGTAAATTAGAGTTCCAGCATATGGAATTAATCAACTGTTTGATTAGGTTTTTTTTTTGTATAATCATTGACTGTATATTCATACTTAGAAGAGATCTGTGCAGAGGGGACAAAGGATTTGGAGCATAAAAACAAGAAAAGCAACATGAAAGATGAAAACATGTTTGCTTAATATAGTTTTTCAGATTTTTTTATATGCTTACAATTGTATTTGTCAGGTGTATTGTTATCTGCACAATGTAATAACGACATTTGACACCTCTGTCATACAGTACTGGAATCATTAATTAACCATGTGGTAAATTTAAATCGACCTCACCTGCTTTTTCAGGCATGATCTTATATAATAATAATAATAATAATTGCTTACACTTATATAGTGCTTTTCTGGACACTCCACTCAAAGCGCTTTACAGGTAATGGGGACCCTCCACCACCACCAATGTGCAGCATCCACCTGGATGATGCGACGGCAGCCATAGTGCTCCAGAATGCTCACCACACATCAGCTATCAGTGGGGAGGAGAGCAGAGTAATGAAGCCAATTCATAGAGGGGGATTATTAGGAGGCCATGATTGGTAAGACCCAATGGGAAATTTGGCCAGGACGCCAGGGTTACACCCCTACTCTTTTCGAGAAACGCCCTGGCATTTTTAATGACCACAGAGAAACAGGACCTCGGTTTTACATCTCATCCGAAGGACGGCGCCTTTTTACAGTATAGTGTTCCCATGACTATACCAGGGCATAAGGACCCACACAGACTGCAGGGTGAGCGCCCCCTACAGGCCCCTCTAGTACCTCTTCCAGCAGCAACCTTAGTTTTTCCCAGGAGATCTCCCATCCAGGTACTAACCAGGCTCACACCTGCTTAGCTTCAGTGGGTTGCCAGTTGTGAGCTGCAGGGTGATATGGCTGCTGGCAGGAACACAGACAAACTTTAGATTGTCTGTGTTCCTGCAGTGGTCCTCATAACTGTTTAGCTATGTAGAGCATTGTTTTGCATTTTAGCTACAAGAAATCCAAAGTACACAGGGAGCAACAGAGTGGGTAGCAGATTTCTACCAGTTGATTTTGCTGCAGAAATCGGTCATAACATTATGAGGACTGACTGATTTGTATTCTTTTTATGAGTGCATTTCCCATCATCCACTTTCTAATTGCTTCATCCAATTCAGGGTCTATCCTGGCAAGCAACAGGTGCAATGCAGGACACACCCTGGACAGGACAGTGCATTGCAAGGCACACTTAGACACATACACTCACACAAGGGCCAACCTACCAGTATGTATTTGGAGAGTGTGAGGAAACTGGAGCACCTTGTGAAAACTCATGCGGGTATGGGGGAGAACATGCAAACTCCACACCGATAGCACCTCGGGTCAGGAAATGAAGCAGTGCTACCCACTGTGCTGCCATATGGCGCACATTGCTGGCTGATTGTCTTTGAAGCTAGATAACAATTTGCTTGCTTTTTTGGAAACAGCAGTAGGGGTCTCTGCCTGCCTCATTAGAATTCAGCCAAATCTATCTCCTTGTTCCCTAAAACACACTGCATAACAGCAATAAAGGCTGTAGTACAAAAGAGGGTAGATTTGCTGATCACTAAATGGTGACACTATTTCACAATCAAAGGGAAACTACATAAATTGTTATGGAAACCATATACTTAATTTAAAATGAAATAAAACATCAGAGACAAATGTGTACTCAACATATTATCAAAATCTGTTCAATGTTATGAACATATGCTGTGCCTTGCATAAAAGGGATAAGCATTAAACATTATTTCCTTATACAGTATGTATACAGTATTCTGTATATATATTCACAAGACCACCAGCTTCCACCTTTGATACATAGTTATACTTATACTGTTACAGTAAAGACTTTAAATCAAAGCTTTTACAAAATCCATAAATATTTAATAAGAGACTTTAAAAGGGAATACATATCCAAACCTTTAACATGGATCACGTCTGACTATTCATTTCCATTTCTTTGTCTTTCGCAATAATGTCCTTGTCCATGAAAATGACATGCAGAGAACAAACTTTGAACAGCTTCAGTCCTCCCACGGAAACCTTATAATTGAATCATGTTGTGAAATAATGAAATAAAATCAGCATAAAGACATAAATGATGATTTTGAATTAGGTAGTAGATCGTTGTTTGAATGCCTTTGCCTTTTCAGCTGTTTTCTATGGCATTTCTTAAGCTTTGGAACAGCAAGGCCATTAAGATGTGCTATTTTGACCCTTAGCCTTTATTAAGCCAACATATATTTAATTAGCTGAGAAGAAGAAATACTACTAGAGAGGGAGGTAACCCAATAATGGCAGCTGGCCATGTAGGTGACAGCTATTTTCCCCTAGAACGTACATGCTGTTGTAATGCAATTACTGAATAATACATGAAATTCAATTCCATTCAGAGGATTTGGAATAGTGCTTTAGTCCTTGAGTTCAATTTGTATAAAACTAAAAAGTCCCTCACTTGCTTATAAGAAATTTATTTTTCAAGGTGGTTTGTCAGAGAAAAAAAATGCTTTATTTGTTACTTTGCCTGACATATGGACTAAAATGAATATTAAAATGAAATAAAAATATTTATGTTCAGGTGATCTGTCTAATCAGATATTGAAATTATTCAGGTGACTGAATATATACTATATATATAATAATACTTCCTCTTCGAAAATACCTAAAAAGAGTATCAGAAATAAAAGGACCCTATTTCAATTTTCTTTTTAAGTCTCATTTGTATTACGACAATTTGTGTGGTAAAGTGCAGCACAAGTCAAAGTCGTTGCTGTGGCAACCACTCTTATTATTATTTTTCAAGGACTCCCTCTCCTTTCTCAGCATTCATTATGATGTCCGTAAAAAAGATAATTGTGTGGAGTTCATCATGGTCTTAGAAGCATCTATGCTATTAGGATACCAAAGATTTAATAGGGGTCTTTTAATAGGTAAATGTAGCCTTAAGAAATGTTTTTCTCTTAAAAAAAACTTACCACATTTCTCTGAAATCAAAAACAAAGAATGCTTTAGCCTTCTTATGGGTAAGATAGATTTGTTGATTAGCAATTCTATACAGTATATTTTATGCTTTCACAGGCACAATAAGTCTTATGAGTACACACATACTGTATAAGTATAGTTCTCTGAGAAATGTAGATCACAGGATATGTACTAAAAGACATAAAACAGCAGGCTTCCTTTTTACCAGTTTTATCTTTGTCTTGAATGTTCTCACACAACAGTCAGGTTGATGGAGCTTCTATGCTAATTTGTTTTTAGATTTTGGTTTTAAAGACATCACAAACAATGGCTGCTTCTCAATAATCCAAGGCACTCAATAATCCAAAATATTGAAATAGGTTAAGGAGTTTGTTCACTGTGAATCATGAGATGGCTATTTACTAGTAGTATTTAAACATAATATTAGTCATATGCCATTAACAAACCTCTTGCAGAGTGGTAATACCCATTAATAGGAAATATACCAATGTTGTGTAGACCCATAACATTTAAAACAGATTAGTCATTAATACTAATGCAATGTATTAACAGAAAAAATAGAACTTAACTACAGGATCATCTTATATGGAAATATAGACATAATGGATTTAGAAATTGTGAGTCATGCTTAACTAATGTGTTAGCACAAGCAACAGAAGTAATTAAGTAATGCAGATAACATAAAAGTTAATATATTTATATTTGTAGAATCTTTTGATCACACTCCTCATAAACGCTTCATTCTCAAATTGCAGGCAGTAGGCATTCAAGCTAATGCATGTGTGGATTGAGAACTGGTTTAAGGATAGAAAACAGTATTCAGATAAGGGGTGAAAAGCTCCAATTGGAATGAGGTAATTAGTAGTAGTTTAAGAGTGGCATAGCGTCCTACTCTGATATGAATTTATATGAATTATACCGTTTCTAGTCACCCAGTTTGCTGATGATACCATAATAGAAAAATTAACAAACAGAGTAGGAGCTTCAAAGGAAATACAAAAAGATTTTGAATTCAAAACTGGGCAAATACAAACATATGGCATTTGAGATAGACAGGTTCAGAGTATAAGTAAGAAATTAATTGGTAGCTATAAAATGGAAAACAGTCAGCTTGAAAAAAACATCTAGGAAAAAGTGTTTCTATGGTAAATAGAATGTTAGCATGTGTTGTTAAAAACCTAGAATTTAAATATAGGGTTGTTATGGTGTGTTACAATTGTACAACACACTATTAAAACCTCATTTATAGTACTGTGCACAACTGTCATCATCCCCCTTTATAAAAAGATAATGCTTCTTTGGAATCAATCCAGAGAAGAGCAACCAGATACTGTACATTCTGTGCTTAAAGATAAACGCCATGCTTACAGAAGACTAAAAGGAGAACTGATACCAGTATTCAAAATCCTCAATTACACTGAAAAAGTCTGCCCTGTGTACTTTCAGAATCAACTGTCCAATGTGAAACAGAGGACACAAGGTAAAATGTAGTGGACGTATGTTTGAAACTTAGAACAGCAGCCATTTAAAAAAAAAAAGATAGGTATCTAAGACAAGATGCCAAGTCAGGTCATTGAAAATGATAACATTTCTTTCATGACGTGGTTGGAATATAGTATCTGCCAGATGAAATTGATAAGTGATAGGGACCCCTCTCATTTGTGTCTTTTCTTTTGCTCTCCAAAGTTCACAAAGTTGCTGACTGCTTCATGCAAAAATACTGATTTTTTTAATATCATAACATGCTTAGGTATAAAACGGTGATGTGTTCAAATGTTTTGGTCAGTCACCTAAACACCATAAGTGCTTATTTTAGGTTTTCACAGAGAGCAGCTCTCTTTACTGTTGTTTCTTGGCAGCAAGGTAGAGTTTGAAATGGTAGAACTCCATGAGAACCTGTTTGCTAACTCTAAGCTCCATATTGCTTGTCTTGTCTTTTTGGCACTGTTTGTAAAATGGACTGTCTGGTATCTGGTACCTGCTACTAAATATTAATAAAGCATATGGTGCTTAAAAACAAGAGAAACAACGGCTGACAATATTATCTTGCTAATTTATTTCATTAAAGACCTTTCACTATTATAATACCATCTTTTACCATACAGTGTTCTTTACGTATCGTATCAGAAATAAAAACAATATTGTATCACTGCACATTTTTGGCATAAAACCTTCCTTATAAATACTGGGTGTTGTGTGATAGTAATTAATAGTAATAGTAATAAACTCTTCTTTTTTGGCAAAGTAGTAAATAATTATTTGTCCAGTTAAATCAGCCTCATCTATTGAAAACTATGCAACTGCTGAACTTTTAAAAATATATATACAGTAGATCCTCAATGGCAAAGTGTTTGGCTTTCTAGCTATAGTTTAATATGTAAGAGTTAGTGCTGTATTTGTTCTTAAAGCCTTATGCTTCTATCCTCTGATCTAAATGTATAAACTGAAAAGGAATGTGTTTAATGTGTAAGGGGCTCAGGGTTTTGCTTCTTTAAATGAAGTGTACTTGTAAAAAAAGGCAGAAAATAACACAGCAATGATATTTCTTCTCTTTCCTTCAGGCTTCTGAAGGAAGATAAAAACTTTGCTTTTATTCCACGCTCCCGCTTGGAGCTTCCTGATAATTTCCCAAAGGAAATCCCTGGGATCTGCTATTTCCTGGAAGCTGGCTCATCCCAGAACCAAGGCTCCATAGCCAGCTCAACTACAGCCATGTCTGTCCGCATCAGGAAGATCTCCTACAATATTGGCACCATGTTCCTCCGAGAGACCAGTTTATGAAGACTAACAAAGTCGAGGACAAAAGCTCAAAGAAAACTATTGGGTTTTTTTAAGAAGTGCTGTTACTGTCCAAGGTCCTGAACAGCCCACAGGGAATGCAGAGAGACAAAGGAAGTGAAGAGAGTTCTGGTCCATAATACAAACAACTTGAGCGAACAACTTACTTTGAGCATTGCAGGTATGAGATATTATTGTATAATTCGGTGCCTTTTATCCACACAACTGAAGTGAGTTGGACACGTATCTTATTGAAGCACACCTTTCTGAAAACCTATCTCATTCTCAGCAGTGCAGCTCTGTGTTTCTGTCTGTTTGAAATCTTTCACACTGCTCTGTCCCCGGTAGCTCTGTCCTTGGATTTCAATGTTGGACAGCATAATTGTTTGCAGTCCTGTGCCAGCCAAGTCTACTCACGGAACAGTCCACCTGCCCTCCTTGTTTCTGCAGCACTGCATCAGAGGGATAAACAACACACAACATGCATCATAGCATGCAAAGTTAATGTAGCATTTAAATTTGTACGTGGTACTGGGGTATACTGTTACAAAACCAAACAGATTCATTCTGCTGTCTTTGTTAAATCTTGGACTCTTTATCACACATGAAGTGCACTCATTTACAATTTTCAGAATCCAGTAAAAGCAATCTCAATCATGCTTGGCACAATTTACTTTAATTTCTTTATTTGATTTGTCTTTTAATTGCCACCTTCATATACTAAATCACAGTATCTTTTACAAAACAATAACTGACCTGAATTTATATTCTCAGAAATAGAACAGTGTACATACTGTAACCTGTTCATTGTCCCTGAAGCGTTAAATATGTCCTATTAGTATTGAAGAAATTGTGTTGCATTTATCTAGAACTATTTTGCCAAGCTAAATAAAGATTGTATTTTACAATGGGAGTTATTTGGAACAAAAATAAATGTATTATTGTTAGTGTATAGTGTATAACATCAGTTCACTGAAATCTAAGGAGAATGGCAGCTTGCTCTGCTCTTGCCTATGGGTCACCACTGGTCCGGCATGCCAAGCTTAAAGTGGGACTTAGAGACAGGCAAAGGTACCTTGAAGAATGGTGCCTGAAGTTACAATCCTATCATGTAGACTAATGGCTTGATAAATATCAACTCACAGAGATGCAGCTTCTCCTGACTGAAACCCTTTATGAATCTGTAGTTAATTCCCAGCCCTGAGGACAACTGTCAAACTGCGAAATACAAAGAGACATAAAAAATCAACATTTTCTTTGCAAGCTGTTTGTCCCCATAGACATACAATATATTAAATAGTAATAATGGGGCTTTTTCCATTATCACTCAAATGGTGTGAAAAAGTGCTGCTTACCAAGTATCATAGCTGGCATTTTTAGATATTTGCCTTTAAACACTATAGGAAATATATTGTGTATTGTACTGTACATGAAGATAAGCACTTGTTGGGAAAATATTACCTTTCTTCTAAAGAACCATAAAAGAATAGATAAGATCAAAATAAGTGCCATTGTACATTTCTGTTTAGCACTCCATTTCGCAATCAGTGCAACTGCATTTTTATGTGTAATGACTACATTATAGCTAGTGTTTGTATTTATTTAGAAAATTATGTAATTATTTTGCTGTTTCAGTACTGTGGTCCTGACACATGATGTCATAACACAGCACGATAAAAAGCATTGTCAGTGAATATGAAAAACAAATATCCAGGCAAACTATACTTCAAGCAAAATTGCACAAATGGGGACTTATTTTCTGTTTAATGGAGTTATAACCGAAGTTGTAGTCCGAAGTTGGAATTCAAATGGAAGAGGTTCCAAGATTAGATCCTTAGCACACTTCCTTTTGTATATAAGTCTTGTATCTGGGATTTCCCATAGTGCATCTCTTTCTTACCCCTCCTGCCAACCCATCCAAACCCCTGCAGCAGCTCCCTGGCCAAATCTCACAATACTGACTGGTGGGGATTCTAGGGTTTACCAAACAGGCCAGGTTGCCAATTCCCTCCGTTTTGCAAGCAATGCCAAGTGCTCCCTGCACATCTGATCTCTCTAGAATTTTACTAAAGCTAACCCAGCTACAGAAATATGGACTAGATTTTATTTTGTCATCTACATTAGATGTTTGTATTTGCAGAGTCAAGGCTCCACACTTCATGGTTATTGTACTGGAAAACAAAGGGTGTTGGAAAATAAAAGAAAATGGAATTATCCAACTAGAGGAAAAACGTAATTAGGCTATCTATTCTCTCCCACAGTTTCTGCTATGAAGGGAATTGTAGTGGTGAGCTGAATAGATGAAGAATTTGAGATTTAAAATAAGGGAATAATTGACAGGTCTGAATAAAATTAAAAAGGTTACACGTGCTTCCCAGTTTAATTGAAAGAAATGCCAGGAGCTGGAAATTTGCAAACCTAAGTAAAAGAAATTATGATTGACATTTTACATAAAAGAAGATTTTATCTTTCCCTCAGAGGATAATAATTCGGTAGCTCTATCTTATTATTCTGATTATTTGTGCTGCTGTGATTTTGTTCTTCTATTTACAGTATTATACTGGGCAGTAAAAAATAAGGCATTTATTAAATGATAGCTAACTCTGAATTGTATGGTATCAGTCTAAATTTATTTATCCAAGAAAGGAAGAAATAAAATAGTGTTAATTACTGTATATATATTTTGAAATATAGTTACATGTGATTAGTATCTGGTTGACACTCAATGGTGTTTATTGCATTATCTTTACAAATATTAGTTCAGAAAAGGTACAGTAGGTGTTAGATTTACAACAGGAAATAATTATACTTTGTCCAGAGTTTACTAACTGTATGTTTATTGATCTCAATTCAAACATTTCATTAATGGTTTTCAAAAACATTTTAAATATTAATGTGTTAAAAAGTACTTTAACTGATTTTACTTTCAAAGTTAACATTTCCAAGTTTTCCAATTACTCTTTTATAAATGGCACAAAAACATCTAATTTTTTAGCACAAAGTTTTTATTTAATTCTTGTGAGATTTCCATGTTTTTCATTCAGGCAACATGGAACTTCAATACCAGCTTTAGTACAGATTTAAATGAAAATCTAAAGTGCATGTAGTTAGCTTATACAAAGCATTTGAAAATGTAAAAGAAATGTTTAAACAGACCAAAGCATAAAAATCTAGTTTTAAAGCAGATAATGTGGAAGCTGTAATTGCTTACAGCTGAGACAAATTAAACCAAGTCTTAAAAGTTATAAGCCCAGGTGTGACTAATTAAACAAATCCTGGCAAAGCTTAAAAAGCTTTGTGCAACAGCACCTGTTTCTGAGGGTGTTAAAACTGACATTTAAATGTAAATTAATTGACAAAATCTTTATTTTGGGACATATTGTACCTTGTGCTGCATAGTTATAAAGAAAAATACAGTTGAAAAAGTATGTGTTCGTAGATTTAATCATTATTTCTTTGTTCTAAAAACATAGTAAAGTATATTTTTAGCATATTAATTAGGATTGACATGCACAGTAGCAATCCACTGTGTACTTGACAACCCTTCAGACATTCAGACAGTGCATTAAAACAGCACTAATTCCATGCAGCTGCTGAAGCTGAAAAATGACAACGAATACACATATTGAAAGCAGTTCGGCCTTTGGCTTTTTGTGAGGTATTCTGCTTTGTTGAAATTTGCTGCCTTTGCAAAAGAGCAATGAGAGATTCTAGGCAATGTTGTTCTGTGATGGTCCTGGCCTGTTCCTAGGTATTCTACTGTACTATTCATCCCTCTTGAACTGTGTAACTTTAGTACACCAAGCCCTTAAACTTCTTGCTTGTATTTTGGATGTGTTTCAGTTCCTGAGCAGCAGACCCCTGTTATAAATTGTTACAAAACGTACAGGACAGGTATATCAGATGCTATATTTCAGTTTTTGTCTCAAAATCTTCAAAATCAGGTTTCTTGTTGCAGTGACTGGGTTGAATTTAAGTTGGGGCCCTGCAGCTCCAAGAATGCTTCCTTTTGATGGTTTGGTATGTCCACCTATATCTGCACGTCATTAATTGCTACGGTTAATTGCATTTTTAAAAAGCTACAATGAAAGCAACTCCTAATCACAGTTCTCGGAGATTACACTCTTAAATGAGATCATTTATGCCTGCATCTATTCCTATTTCTTTTTGCATTGCTGAATTACCCTGTACTTGTTCCTTATGCAGCTCCCCACAGTAACCTACTGTATAATTGAAAGTATTTGTAAGTTGTGAGTGCAGAAAACAGTTAAAAGTCAATCAGATAGTTCAATTAAGAACCCAATAATTCTAACTGAATAATTAATACGTTATTGGAGTAAAAATCAGGAGACTTGGGGATACTCCAGGACCAAGAATACAAAGTGTTGTAGAGAGAAGCAAATATCTGAAAGCAGTGGTTTTCATTACCCATTGACGGAACTGGCAAGACCTACATTCAACAGAGTGCCACATGTCCAGCCTGGAGCACTTTTCTATACAGACTGATAGCATTTAAAAAAAGGCAAGGCCTGCCAAAAATAACAGATTGATTTCAAGAGGGACAACGACATCCAAGAAGTCGATGGTTTGTGAACATTTAAGTATTTTAGGTGGGATAGGTCTGGCATAACAAACTCCTTTAAAGGGCAGGCCCCTGGCCATAGGACAAGGAGTCTGGAACCCCAGGTAGAGAGGGGAGTGAACCAGGGGGACACTGCAAGGAGGAGATGGGGGGGAGGAAAGATGCTTCAGACAAATGCGAAGGGAGGTGTTTGTGTCAAATACGGTACATAGCAATGATAATGATCAGGAACAGCTGTGGAAGATTGATTTGCTGTTATTATGCCTCCCAAACTTCAGTTAATAACTCCCATTTCAAAACAAGATTCAGCCTATTTCCTATTTAAGTTCATGTATTGATTTCAGTAATAAACTACTGTAAATTGCCTTTTCTGAAAATCTGAAATACCTGTATAGACCTTCTCTGTGAATTTTCAGTAAGCTACTCTAAAGACCAGATCATTTCACTGATGTGTGAGGTGATCGGGATCATGTAAATTGCTTATAATTAAAAGGCATTTAAATGAGCCACATGTTTCTAACAACAAAAAAACGCCTTTTTCGTTTGATAGCTGACCCATCTGCTGACTTCATAACTTTCATAACGATGAAATGAATGTCCGTTACATTTATAATTGAAGTACATACAGTAGTTCCCACAAAGTTAGCCATTACAATTTGATAAAAACACAGGAAATCAGTATATAAATAAAAATGTGAATATTCACCAGGTACTGGAGCACTGAAATCACCAGCAAAAGAAGCTAAATCTCTTTTAATATTTATAATGTCAAATACCTTCACCACAAAGCGAAATCTGGCAGGTGTCGATACAGTATGTAGCAATCCTATGATGTCTGCCATGTCAATGGTCGTAGCATAGTACTGGTTCTGAGGTACAACAGATACCTGCGAGCTAACAGAGCTCAACAGCTTGATGGGATAGTTAGCTCACCAGGGAAGGCTGATAATGCACGCTTAGGAAAGAGATGTCACAATTACAACTATAAATCATGCATATTGACGAACACACAGATGCTTAAAAAGAAGCTTGTCTCATTGTAGATGTTGCAAAGCTCTTTAAACTGAGATGAACTGTAGTACGTCCAGTTCACCTGCCTGTAAGAAATGCTTATATATAACCAAAAGGTATTAACAAGTGCAGTGGAATTTAATGGTAATTAAAAATGTAGTTAATAATATAAGAACAGTTTTTTAAATATATTTTTAATATGCCTTTTTTGTGGTTAACAATACCTAAAATATTTGTTTGCACTACACTTTAATTTTTGTTATAGCTGTCTTTAAACATTTTTAACATGATGATTAATCAATAATTGTGTGCATTTATATGGAACCTTTCCTCCAAAATGTTCCCATGTTTCTTTTACATACGTCTAATATTAAGGCTGGGTGTGGTTCAGACTATGGTCAGGAGTAGGGTTCTGTTACATCTAAATAATCTTCTGTAGAGATTAGTTGTTAAATCAATTGTCATCTACTGATAGTTCAGGAACTGAGAGGAATTTCAACACGTAATCGGTGGCAAGATCTTCAGTGTTGCTTCATTTCTTGTTTTTGTGCTGTGTACATTATATGCAGTATTTTCAAAAATCATACATTTATAAATAATGACATAAAGCAGAAACCCACTGTAAAATAAGTATATTGTACTGTAGGAAATTTGTATATTGTCTGAGGTTTCAAGCAATAAGCTGAGTATCCTTTCTGGGTCATAAATATAAAAAGAGAACCTCATACACAGCTGTTATTACTTTGATTTTGTGTTAAATATAACTGCCAGGACAGATGTGTGAAGTGGAAACATTGTCTACCACTTATAAAGTGAATACAATTATATAGTTTTGCCATGATTACTGCCTGGCGAAATGGGATTGCTAATTGTGTTTCATAATTGCTTGCACTCCAGATCTGTCAATTAACACAGTACCTAAAAGTGGTCTATTGAGAATTTTCACTAGTATTCCAACCCCTCTGCAATGGACTGGCATTCCATCCACAGTGTATACTGCTTGCTTGCTGGGATAGGCTCTGGCTCACCTGCGATCTGCGACCCGTGGATAGCGAATAGATTGATAGAATGATCTTAACTCTTTTGTTGTGTGATTGACTGACTGTTGATTAGATTATAACATGTTTAAAACTTAAAGGTTTTGACTGATTCAAACTTGCTGTATGTCATGGAATCATCAACACAGATATTGCCGTGTTAACATCGTCTTGTGATGAAATCAGATTCTTATTTTGAATTCTCAAGTATTCATGCTGTGCCTGATTTCCAAACTGTGCAACATCCTATTTTGTGCACTGCAGCTTGAATCAATTGATTTATCGCCACTGTCCATTTTTAATTGCTTCTGTCTGAACATCTTGCTGTTTTCGTCATTTTTATTTTTACGGTTTTCCTGCAAATATCCTTTAAAGGTTTTGAGGCACTTTTTCTTTGCTTTTTTTTGGAAGAATGTCTTGGCCTGGACCACAGTTTATGACAGCGCTCTTTCTCTGTGTTCAGGCTTGTATTGTGTCAGTAAACACATGCACTTTATTTAACGTTTTGCCTTTGTACTCAAGTGGTACAAAGGATCTGAGAAAAGAACGAGAATACTTTAGTATAATTTAAAGCAAATTGTATGATCCATTTACACTGCTTCTTAAGAAAGCGTAATTTCAGCATATTGCAATACAAAACTATATAAGTAAGCACTTCACTTCTTGGTATGATAGTGACTTTGATAATCTCATGGGTTCTATTTGAGTATGGAATCATTATTTTTTACTTCCTCATTAAAATTATCCAACACATGTTACAAAGACATAAGGGAAAACAAAGAACAATTACATTTGTAATATACCAACTATGTATGTAACATTTCTAATTGGACAATGTAGGTGTTATAAAATGATAAAGGTACTGTATAAGGAAAGAGATCTACATCTTATTCTGTTGTGTCTTCTGTGATTGTTCTGTTCTGCACAGGGACACCCTTGTCATTTTCAGTCAAGTTTTTAATTTACACTGCTTTCTTGTCAAAATTGTGTCTTTCTATTACATGGGTTCTGAACCAAAGAACTTCAAATAATGTACAATATATTATAACTGTAATACAAATCTTTTATAAAAAACACAACATTGTATAAATGCCATACCTGCACTAAAAATATACAGTCTACTGCTCTTTAATATATTCTGTTAGTAAATAGTATACACCATATCTTAGTATGTTGTACTTTATGGGAAAAATATGTAATTAGTTTAGGTTTGTGACAGTCCATTTTTGCCAAATAGCCCAATCTTGTTTTCTTTGTACTACTTTTTTATGTGTATTTTTTTTTCATCATGTATAAGATAAAGAAGCAAACCGGGGCTGTTCGACAAACTGTATATGACTACATTCTTATATGGTTTTCACATCTGTCTTGGCTGAGCAACAGAATATGGTACATTAAATATAATCTGTAAAGAAAATGTAAATAAATATCATTGTATACCTAAAACGTGCTGCTGTGTTCTTTGTGTTTTATTTGATTTACCGCTGTGCTTAAAGAGTAAGGGGATTATAGGTTAGACTGAGAGTGGAAAACATCTTGAACAGGACAGTTCTTTCAGTCTCTTGTGGTTTTGGTGTTTCTAGTAACTGAGACACAAAAATGGCTGAAACACCTATGAAAGCACTGTTACATTTTCACATTCTTTAACATTTTTAATGCAAGTGTTCAACAAAAAGGAAGTGAGACATTTCTAATTCCTAGGCTCCCCAGTATTCCTACTGGGGTTTAAATCTGCTGATAACGTGAGAGGTATACAGAAAGAATAGGCAAGTCCCTTGTAATTAGGGACAATCACAGAAAGTGTTGAGCGCTCTCTGTACAGCTTGCAAAGGAGGGAGAAGAATCCTAAATGACTCCTGGGCCTACCTAAGTTTTGAGGGCACTGCAGTGTATCTGTTTTTCTCAAGACTTGCATTATTATTCTGCTGTTCTTGCATTACTGTCATCTGTGCCTGATTGAACCATTGTTCCTGAGGCATTCTTTTCTGTTGTCACAGCTTTATTCACACTCTTGCTATGCTGCAAGGTTGAATTTGTTTAAAAAAAGTATGAAAACGATAGAATCATGCGGAGATATTACAATCTCATTGGGGGCACACTGGATATCTAGAGGTCTTGCAGTGTTTTGAGATGGAAATGCTGAGAGCCATACACTACCTGTGCAAAGGAAGTTGTGGAAAATATTCAAATATTCAAATATTCAAATATTCAAATACAAAAAAAATTGTCATAAACTATTTCAATGGAAAAAAATGGTCCGTTACCATTTTAAGAATTAACAGTTCCATGACACTTTTTCCTATCCTCTATTTTCATCTATTCGTGCATTCTTGAACTATTTTATCCACTACTGGTTTGCAGGGTGCCAAAGCCTATATTTTACAACAATTTTTTGCCAGGCTAAAGCAAAAAAAAAAGTAAAAGATCAGACATTCAAACCCTATTCCTATTAAATGTAATCTTTATTGTTAAATGGTCTATTTAGAACAATAACAAACATATTCTACTGCCAGATGGGTGTTTAATTGTCAGTCTTTAAACCTGTGTGCCAGTATGTCTTTCTAAATGAAAAGTTACATTGCAGACATTGAATTAAAGATGCATAGTGCTCATCTGCAGTAACTATAAGTGTCTTCCAGTCAAGATGATCGTTATCTAACCTGATTAATTTCTTAAGTGAACAATTTAACATTGTTTTCTTGGTGATTTAAGAAGACCTACAGAACCAACTGGATTAACAGTCCCTGATGACTAAAGAGATCACTGTTTCAAATATTCACTGCATTACATTTTACCTGTTTTCACAATTTTGCATGAAGGGTAAAAGAGCACAAGGACATTTCCTGCCTTTTTTTTAGAAGGTGTAAACTTGCCACTTTCTATAAAGATTTCCTGAAATTGTTTGCCACCTCTGTATAATTTGCAGATTAATGTCTGTTTTGTTTGCTGTGTTTTGCAGAGAAACAATTAAAAAATAATTTAATCTAATCTTCTCCACCTGTTATCTGAGTCGTTTTGCTTCTTGATTGATTTGGCAAGTGTGTAATACACTGAATCATCTCTGAACTGTTATTTATTTGTCTCTTAAGCTTTCTAAGGAGTGCTGTGTATGTTGGCTTGTATGGTGGCATTTCAAAGTCTCTCAGGAGCTTTCTGATTTTCTAATATTACCCATTCAACTTTTTCTAACTCATTCTTCCAATTCAGGGTTGTTAGGGAGGTGATACTTATCCTCTCCAGCAATGGGCACAAGCCAGGATACACCCTTGATGGGACTACAGTCTATAGCGTGGCTTGCACACACGGACACACACACCAGAGCCAGGTTCCCCAGAAGCCGATTAACCTAGCAGTATGTTTTTGGACTGTGGGAGGAACTGGAGCACCTGGAGGAAACCTATGAAGACATGAGGAGAACATGCAAACTCCATGCAGATAGCACCTCAGGTCCATGATTGAACCCAGGGCCCCAGAACTGCATGCCAGCCTCTAATATTATCCAGAACCTTAAACTGTTTGTAGATATGCTTTAAAATACACACATATTATACCATAGCCAAAGCATACTGGCACATTTGTGACATTTATTCGGAGCAGTAGCTAAAAAATAGAACTTGAGTTGTACTATATACAATGCTTATATCATAGTTTTTTTTCTGTGCTGTAACATAGCTTTTGTACTGTATCTTTTAGACACTGAATAAGAAAACCCATCCCACATCCACCCACTATCCTGTAACATGGAGTAAAACCTAATTCTCTTGTAAATGGGGGTGAAGGTACTTGATACATCAAGCCAACACCTATTGATAGGCCCAAAGCTATCGTTCTCTTGAAATTTTAAAATTATTTTTCCTGTGAGACTCAATAGGACAGTCAATTCATCCAGGTTTAATATCCATATAGTTTTATAGCTTCCACCTCTTCTTTTCAGTAATTGGTTTTTAGAATAGCATTCACATAACATAATCTTTCACTTAGAAGGCAAGAGAGGCTCTGGCATCTCTCATGTACATCACTTCAGCTCATTATAAACAAGTTAGATTACAAAAATGCGAAGTACAGGCAGGAGATTCCTAATCATATGCCACATTATGATTACAAATGAAAACATGACGCTGCTTATAACTGCAATTAAGTCAATGCCATGCAATTTTTCCTGTACACGTGTCCACCCACATACAGTATGGATGATTCTACTGAATTCTTTAAATAATCTTTTGAGAACAATAAAAAACTGATTTGATTGTAGATTCAGAAAAGCGCTGAAGATCAGCTGTAAAATGGTTATGAATTAAGAACAGATGATAACGCCTTAACCAATTGCTCTCTCTCAAGTCTACGCACGTGTCTGTACGGATTGTTGTGTGCCCTGACACCACATTGTAATAATTTCCCTGCCTGGGGACTGGAACAAGCAGCCCTAGTGACCTATGCATGGAGCTTTCAATTTCCCACGGTTCGCACAATAATTAGATAGATACTTTATTGATCCCGTGAGGGAAATTGCAGTGCAACAGCAGCTTAACACAGCAACAGTGTAATGAATGATACAACAATAATAATACAATATATACAATACAATCAGTATAGTGAGAACTGCACTAAGAAGAGTTACTCACAGTCCAGAACACACAAAGAACAAACCAGAACAGAGCAGTACACAAAAAAAGTTGTATTGCAAAATATAAATATAAATATAAATGTGTTGCACAAGTCCCTGGTATATACTGTATTGCACAAAAATGGTTGTAAATGGGAAACAGAGAAAGAACAGATGTAGCAGTTTACTGTTCAGTCCAGAAACAGGTCACTGTCAATGTTGCCTCTGCCCAAACGCAAGGTGGATGTGTTGTACAGTCTTATGGCAGAAGGCAAGAATGACCTCCTGTAGCGCTCCCTGTCGCACTGTGAATGGAACAGTCTATTGCTGAACGTGCTCTTCATTTCTACAAGCATGTCATAGAGGGGATGGGAGACGTTGTCCATGATGGCCTCTAGTTTGGACACCATTCTCCTCCAGGGGGTCCATGTCAGACCCAATGAAAGAGTTTGCTCTTCTGATGAGCTTGTTCAGTTTGTTAGAATCCACGGCTCTAATCCCAGAGCCCCAGCATACCACTGCGTAGAAAATGGCGCTCGCCACAACCGACTGATAGAACATATGTAGCTCACTACACACATTGAAGGACCTGAGCCTCTTCGAGAAGTAAAGTTGGCTCTGACCCTTCTTGTAAATGGCCTCGATGTTCTTAGACCATTCCAGTCTATCGTCAATGTGCACTCCCAGGTACTTGGGAAACTTTTTTTAAATCCTTATTCACATTACTTCAGATTCAGCCAAAGTCTTTCTTAAACAAAACTAACCTGACTTGCCAACATGAATCTGCACAGAACTATACATGATCTGTTTATCTTGTTTTGTTTTTTTACGTTTTTAGGATTCCATTTGGTTCTCTCTTTCGTATTACCTGAATACCAAAAAACAAATACCAAAAGCAAAGCAGAAGGACAATACTGTAACTGTAACTGTTCTTCCTGTTGCAATATTTACTATGATATTTACTATGGAACATTAGAGTTAGGGTTAGGGGAAATAGGACAACCCCTGAGAATGATACAGAATTTTAACAATTTTACAATTTTAATGTAATTCAACAAGAAAGGAAACAACAGCAAATTGTTGTTGATCTCAGCTCACTTAGTGGAACCTTCACAGTTTACATCCCAAGAACTGCTGCAAAAGCCTAACTCGTGGCTATTATTGTCATTCTATAGTACAACGGAGCTCAAGATTCAAGTAACTGAGTGGTTCTATTTCTAGATGTTGCCTTACTCCTTTGTTTAGCAGGACTGTGATCTGACAGCAACTGTTGACACGTAAGACAAAGTCATTTGAGAAGCAAAAGAAGCTGTTGGAAAGTGCTTGTAACACTCAAGCTCAGATGATAATGAAATGCCAGTGTGCTTGCAGCAAAAAAAAAAATGTGATAGGCTCTGTGAATGCTGTGTGCTGAGGTGACACAATTCAAAACCACTGCTGAATGTCAATCTGTCAAAAGTCAAAACGGAGAAGATAAAGAACTGAGCATTCAGCACTGCTTCCTTCAAAGATATGTTGTGTCTCTTTATAAAACCGAAGATAAACTCTACCTTAAACGCTTATTTATGTTGATTATATTAAAAAAAAATATGGAACAAATTGAATAGGTTTGCAATCCTCTAAAGTAGTAAAATGATACAAGAGCAGAAACTAGTTTAATATAAGGTAGTCTTGGCAACTGCCTTACTTTATGTTTTATACATTGTGATTTAGTCACCTTCTTTCTCACTTTCCATGTATTTTTTTCTTCAGAATTTTTTCAAGCCGATTAAATGGAGGTAGAGAGGCTGACAAAAGCAATTCCTATTAATGTCACACTAGTGAGAAGCCTGGGTTCTCAGAGCCTCTTGACTGTCTAGTACTGTAAAAGGGAACAGTAAAATCCTTTTTTTAGGGTTACAAAGGCCATTAAAACCAGAAAATCTGCCTTATCTCATTGCCCATAATATAAAAGTATCATTTAATATTTTATTATATAAGAAATA